GCAGTTAGGCGAGTGAGCGACTCTTTAGTGAGTTTTAAGAGAGACGCTGCTGCCCTTCCATCGATCATTAAGTTCACTTAGTCGCCTCTTACGACACCCCCAGGAAAGGAAGGGGTGATTCCATGCTGGGATCATACGGCAATTTTACTTCACTTTACAAGTGACAAATGTCAAGCCAGTTTTTGTTTTCATGACATAATAGTAGGTGTGGTGCTATGGCGGGCAAGTCGCAAAATTGTTGACATTTTTGTCGCTTATCTGTTACACGGTGCTGTCTGTGGTGCTGTAATGGTTACGTAGTAAAACTGGTACCTTTAAAACTGGTTGACATTTCTAGTTTATATTCTACTAGCGACCAGCCCCAGCTTCGCACGGGTCGTAGACAGGCATGAATAGAATAGAATAGAATAGAAATCATTTATTCAAATAAACTTACATTGAAGCACTTTTGAAAAGTCATTACATTTTTTTTAATTTACCGCTCGTTCGGAAAGCTGTCTCATCACAAGAAGAACGAGCAAGAAACTTGCGTGATGCTCTATTATTATTTTACATTTTTAAGTTTAATTGTGTGAATACAAACCACCAATTAGCACTAATTCAATTAAATACTCAAAAAGAAAAAAAAAATTGAATACATAACCAACTGGTTAAACAATTAATAAGAGGAAATCAGTCATAGTGATTAGAGCAGACCAGTCCCTACAAGCAGCACCCGTTCACGAGTATGACGGATGAGCCAGCCATCACTGCGCTCGACCATATTTTAGGGAGCCCAATGACCCGGCCCACCACGCCGCCACAAGTCTGGACATTTTAGTGAGCATGACTACTCAAAACACTAGACCACGTCAAAGCTACTCACAATTGCCATCTGATAGTTATAGTATTCACATTTTACATAAGAATGCATGCGGCAATTAATACAAAAAACCGCTACGCTTTCATATTTCTAAAATTAATCAATTAAATCAAGAAAGCAATGAGAAAAAAAAATTATAACGTTGTATGCTAATAAACTAATTATTTACTTGATATGTTGTCATCTATGAATTCGTCTATCCTGTAATAGGCTTTCTTACATAAAAATTGTTTAATATAAGATTTGAATTGCCTCTCTGTCAGATTTAATGCAGATTCCGGCAGTTTATTATAAAATCTTATGCAATTACCATAGAATGAATTACTGATTTTGTGCAGACGGCATTTAGGTAAAATAAGCTTATTTATATTGCGTAAGTTTCTACTTGTACAGTCTTTGAGTTTTTTAAAACTCGCTAAGTTCTTCCGTGTATACATAATATTTTCATAAATGTATTGTGAAGTAACTGTGAGGATATTTGAGTCTTTAAAGCACTGACGTAATGACTCTCTTGAACCCATACCATAAATAGAACGTATGGCTCTCTTTTGTAAAACAAATATAGTATTTATATCGGCTGCTTTACCCCACAGCAGTATGCCATAAGACATTATGCTATGGAAATAACTAAAATATACAAGTTTAGCCGTCGCCACGTCTGTTAATTGCCTAATTCTTCTAATTGCATATGCAGCAGAACTGAGTCTACTGGCCAATTTTGAAATATGGGGCCCCCATTGTAATTTCGAGTCCACTGTTATACCTAAAAAAACTGTATCATTAACAAAATTTACTATTTCGTCATTAAGCAATAACTGTGTATTTATTAGTCTTACATTAGGAAGTGTAAATTTTATACACTTTGTTTTGCTGGAATTTAATAATAGGTTATTACATGTAAACCAATTTAATATTGCAGACATAGCACAATTTACATCGTCTAATTGATTACTTTGACGTCCAATTTTAAACACTAACGAAGTATCATCCGCAAACAGCACTATATCTGCAATTTTCTCTACCATAAAGGGAAGGTCATTTATGTAGATTAAAAAGAGAAAGGGGCCTAAGATTGACCCTTGTGGAACGCCCATCTTAATATTAGCTCCCTTAGATTTTACACCGTCAATATCTACAGTTTGAACCCTATCCTCTAAATAAGTTCTCATTAATTTTAGATCATTATCTCTTATACCATAATGTTCGAGCTTGTACAAAAGCGTTTTATGATCCACACAATCAAATGCCTTTGATAGGTCACAAAAACTCCGAGTGCATCCTGTGACCTCTCCCAAGATTCGAAAATATGTGTCATTAGCGCAACACCTGCGTCAGTGGTAGACTTGCCGGCGGTGAAACCATATTGCTGACTGTGAAGCAGTCCGTTAACCCTGAAGTGATGTAACATTTGATTTAACATTATCTTTTCAAACACCTTACTTAGAACTGGCAAAATAGATATAGGTCTATAGTTCCCTGGCTCAAATTTATCTCCTGATTTAAATAGTGGGATTAATTTGCTAAATTTCATTAAATGTGGAAAAACGCCATTATCAATACATTTATTAAAAATAGTGGCTAGATATGGAGCAACAATATCTATGAAAGAACTAACTACTTTTACAGACATGCCCCAAAGGTCTTCCGTATTTTTTAAATTTAGCTGTTTGAATATTTTTATGATATGAAAGGGGCTAACATGTGAAAATTTAAATCTTAAAGAACAACAACCGATATTAGTCTCTAGTAATTTTTTTGCTCGAGATTGAGATGAGTCCAGAGAAGATGTAATATCAATCGGAATATTAGCAAAAAAATCTTCAAAAATATTAACTACATCTTTTGTTGTTGTTATTAATTTATTATCATAATTTAATGTAAATTGATTACAGGCTATTTTAGATCTTCCAGTTTCTTTATTTATAATGCTCCAGATGGTTTTAATTTTGTCAGAAGACTGCTTAATTTGTTTATTAAAATAATTAGACTTAGCCATAATACAAACTTTTTTAAAAATTTTAGAATAATTTTTTACATAAGTGGTGAATTTGTCATCAAATCGATATTTTTTTTGATCGTATAAATCAAACAAAATATTTCTACTTTTAAGTATTCCTACTGTTGCCCATTCCGTGAATTTAGATTTAACATGAACTTCTTTTTTCTTGAAAAGTTGTTCATATTCTCCGGATAAAATATTAATTAGCTTGGTGTAAAGATAATCAGGATTATTACTAGATTGTAACAGCAAATCCAATTTATTTTTAATCGCGCTTTTGTATTTATTAATATTGTAAACGTTTATTTGTCTTTTTTATTTTTTATTATTGTTGACTTTATTGATTTGACTGCTAAACTTAACAACTTGACCACAGTGATCTGAAGGAAGTTTATTTATTATGAATTTTTCTGTATACTCGCAGTTACAAAAAACATTGTCAAGACAAGTAGCAGACGTGGCAGTTACACGAGTGGGTTCATGAAAGACATGACATAAATCAAATGACTGAAATAAACTAATAATTTTTGTACATGTGGGTGTGTTACAAAGAATATCAACGTTAAAATCTCCACATACAATAATTTTTTTAATACTATTAAATACTTTTTTTAAAATATCCTCCATCACCCCTTCAAAAACATTGTAATCACTATTAGGAGGCCTGTACACACATATAAGGATATAATTTTCTAGTTCTATACAAGATAATTCTATACAACACTCAATAGAAAGTCTAACAATGTCAGCACGTTCCTTTACTTTAATATTATTTCTTGCAATTATCATAGACCCGCCTCTGTTAACTGACTTTCTATTGAAGCAGCTGACAACGTTATAATTATTTAAATTGAACATCATATTGCTTTCTTTAAGCCAATGTTCTGTGAAACAGACAATATCAATATTATACTTTTCTAAAAATAATTGTATAATTAACTCGCTGCCGGGAAAACTTTGTATGTTCTGATGAACAATTATTAATTCTGATTGCTTTCCCTTTGTCTTTGTGAGCAGTTTAAATCTGCAGTCATAGTACTTATGTCACAAATATTAATAGAATTATCTGTTATGTCAGCATTTTTATGTTTAAGTTTACCATGTAAACTGTTCATGTAGTCAATATTATAAGCCACTAAAGTGGCTATTTTATTTTTAGATGATTTAGAAAGATACATTGTATCTTTTGTCAAATAAAAATCACTAATAAAACTATTAGTATCAAAAAATGTCAAAATGTCACTATGACGACATGTCAATGTATGTAATAAGTTATTCAGGTAATGTACCTTACTGTTAATTTTTTTATGAAGATGTCTATTTGTGTAAGGAAAAGCGCACAATACAATCTTATACACATTTAATTGTAATAAATATTCAATTCCTTTAATTACATCCTGTCTATTTAATTGAATACTATTACCAAAAAATAACACAATTGTGGTCATATTGTTCATTTTCGTAGACTTAATTTTATTTATTATTTGTGTAAATGATGCTTCTGGCATGCAGTAGTTTAATAAATCACCCTTAAGATGATACTTCATGAGTAATGTGGATACCGATCCGATATCTATATATTGGGTTCCACAGAAAAAATCATTTCAATATCGTCCATATCGGTCGGATATCTATTTTCGAATGTATTAAAAGTCTGTTATCCAATTTTTTTTTTTTTTCGGATAACAGGAACTATTCAGGAATCAGGAACTATTACGTATTTCCTTGTTCTTATGCAGTTACATATATGACGTAATAATTATATAAGAACTTGGTAAATAATTATCATACGATTTGCATTACACAGCTCACAGAGCATAACAGCTGCTTTTGAGACACCTTAAAAAAATAGGAAGATCTCAATGCGTTTATTTTTTTTACACGACCATCCAAAGAAATAATGTAATATTTTCATGTATCTATGTGATTTTTTATATTCCACTATAACTTTTAAACCCCTGAACAGATTCGGATATATGAGGTATCGTTAGGATCCTTACATCATCTCCGGTGAAGTGGCTATAGCTTCTTAAAAAAAATAGTTTTTTAACAGGGCATTTATGTTTATTTTTTAGTTTGGGAAGTGTAATTTACTTGTGTGTTTGTTATATCTAAAGAGTGTACTTTCATTGCACACAGGTAGCCGCAATGTGGTGACAACTACGTGATGATGAGACTCGACGCGGCTGATAAGCAGCACCGGTATCACAACCTGCTGAATGACGACCATGCCAGTGAGTATTATCGCTTTCAACCGACTTCAAAAAGAAGGTTCTTAATTCGAATGTATTTTTATGTTCATTACCACTAAACTACATCAGTTATAAAACCATTTATTTTTTTTCTTTATGAATTGAATTTCTGTAGGAATTTTATCAATATTGTTTAAGTAGTTTAGTTTTTAAATCAAAGTGACTAGTTATGCGAGAATGCAGACTACCAGTCCCATTGCTAGCAATAGGTATACTCTGTCGGTCGACCTCCACGCGTGCCTCTGTGGAAACCATTGTGCTTAATTGTGGGCGTATTCATCACGGTGAACTATCTGAACTGCCCTTTCATTCTCACCTATCATTCCTCACTGGTGCCCTGCAAGTGTATACCGTTACCATTCCATTATCGTAAAAAAAAAAATGGGAAGGAAGGAAAAAAAGGGATTAATAGTAATGAGGTTTACCAGCCCTCTTGCTAGTAATATACCCTATCAGCTTGAACACCACGCGGTTTCTCCTGGTAAACATCATGGTTGCTTCTTGTAGTATTTATCACGATGGGCCAACTGACCTGTTTTCGTCCTCACCTATCATCTCACTGGCAGCGTGTATCGATAGCGAAGCGAAGATACCACTCTATTCTCACCCATTAAAAAAAGGAAACTCCTGTTACATACATACATATCTGTCACGCCTCTCTCCCATTAGGGAAGGCAGAAACAATGGATAGCCAAAGGCTTCGATTCAAACAAACCTCTTTCGCTTCTTTCACATTCATCAATCTTTTCATACACGCTCGCCGGTTACGGGTACTTTTAATTTGGCCCTTCTTCAGCACGTCGCGTATTTGGTCAACATACGTCCGTCTAGGGCGGCCCCTACCGCAAACTCCTGTTTGTAAAGTAAAATCTATTTGAAGATACATCATGATTCCACGTTCTAAATTTAAATATTTTCAATGTGAATACATCTCATTATTCCGATGTATATGTACCTAGTAATTATTACTTATTATAATAAATTATTTAACCAGATATATAAATTAATTACATCAAATAAAAATATCCATTAAGATGAGAGATTTGATTGTTTCTAATTGTTCTTTATTCTCATCATTATTTTTTTATCAATTCAGATTGTTTAATTTTTATACTGCCTTATCTAAAAACACTAATTTTAAAACCTATTGCTTAGATCCGAGAAGCGGTATAACAGGAAAATACATTACGTATACAAAGTTTTGAAGTTTAATTAGCCAATTATAAACGAATGCTATCGGTAATAAAACTCATTTTGCAAAAAACTGTATGCAGTATATTGTCTCAGGCTTAGGTACTGTTACTACATTCTTTTTTTATTACACGATGGTAGCAAACGAACGTACAGCCCTCTGATGGTAAACACTCATGCCGGCAATACCAGGAGTGTCACGTTCGTGTTGTCAATCTTAAAGAAAATTTATATACAGTGAACACTCTGTATAAGCAACTCATTTGAAGTACTTTCAATAAAAAAGTTTCTTATTTGGAAAAGTTACTTATAGGAGAAAAAAAGTATAAAAATACTTACCGTCTGGAAAATATTTTTGCTTATTTCTTACTTTTCTTACGTGCGTTTTTCAAGACATTTTCTTTCATGCACAACCACTCTTTGGAATCAACTTCCAGCAGCAGTATTTCCGAACCGATACGACATCATAATCTTTAAGAAAAGAGCATATTCCATTTTAAAAGGCCGGCGCCATACCTGCAATGCCATTGGTGTTGTGGTCCACTGCTGAACATATTATTGGACGGTTTTGCCAGTGGTTACCACACTTAACAGGCGGATTAGCAACCGCAGTTAAACTTTGGCGATGTTTTAAGAGAGACGCTTTAAGTAATCCTTCTATATATATATCTACTACACCCACGGGAAAGAAAGGAATATTGAAAAAAAAGAATAGCTATCTTGCAACGAGCGAACATTTTTTTTATCTGTGCGATCAGTCTACAAGTAACACTTTAGTAGCCACCTGGCTGCGTGCGTACACGCAATTTCCTGCGTGGTTTCCTGTGTTTTGTGACCCGTAACTACCCGTGACGTCACGGGCGGCTGGCGACCGTCTACCGTCCTGCTTTGGCTGTCATTACCTATGTTTTTTTTGTGATACAAAAGGTGGGCAAAGACATAGCTACATGTATACGGTAAGGTGGATTATAGAGTTATTTGAAACAGATTGCCAATTCTAATGTTATAAACACTTCTATTTATCAAACTTTGGCAACCCTAATAGCTTTAAAAATACATTTAGTATACAAATAGATTATATTATATATGTGTTAATGTAGATACAATGTGTAGGTATAGATACAATAATAAAGAATTTGGTATTTTAAAAAAGTTCCATCCGGGTACCATGTATCAGTCATTCATTCAGTTTGGTCAATAAATTTTAAATGTTTATTTTTACAAACATAATTATTAGGTTTTATCTTTGATTATATAGATAGAGTGTCACCATAGAAATAAATGCTTCGAGAAAAACGTTTAAACTTTTTCATACAATTTTGAGTAATAAATAGTTATGAATGATTCGTTTATAACTTTTATATTTATTTTGTCTTATAATTTCTGCAATTTTTTTAATGCGTAAACACTTTGCCAGAGGAAGACTGTACAAAAGTCGATTGCTTGGGCACCTCTGTCCCGTTCGTGTTTCAACCGTGAAGCAGCTGTGTTTGCGTGGCTGTGTTTCGGTTTGAAGGGTGGGATATGGCGTGAATTTACAGGGTATAGAGGAATAACACCTGAGTCCTCAGAAATGGCAACGCATGGGGGGTATCATGGGCGAAACAGTATAGTCTGTTATGTCCATGGTACTACTCATGTCTATAGGCGACGATTACCACTTTCCATCAGGTGGGCCGTCAGCTTGTTTGCCATTCTAAGTTGTATAAAAAAAAACTTTTTTGAAACAGGGTTGCACTGTTACATATTTTTTGCCCTAGCTTACAAATTATTTTTTAAAAAGGTTTAATATTATTAAGCTATGATTTTCAAATTACGCATTCGCATCGAATAAATTCTTAACCGTTCGAGAGAAAATCATCTAACATAATTTTAACTTTACTTTCTCTATCTTCAGAAATGGTTACTTAAAAATCATCACAAACATGTTCAGAATTGCCAATAATAACATGTGACCTAATATTATATAGATGGAGCATCGAACCTCAAAAACGGGTCAACGTTTTGTCAGCTAATTGTCAAATTAGCTGACTCGTTTTTTTTTTTATCACTATTCTATATACTTACGCACACAATGTGTTGACCTATCAATATTAAATAATTTAATGATTAAAAGGGATTTTGACGCATTAAAAAAATGCAAAAAATATAAAACAAAATAAATATAGAAGTTATAAAGGAATAACTCATAACTATTTATCACGCAAAATTGTATGGAAAAGCTAAACCGCTTTTCTCGAAGTATTTGTATGGAGACAATTTATCTTTATAATGCATATAAGCATGTGACATACAAAAAATAAATTCAAATACCTAACAACGAGTGTGTAACGAACAATAAGGTTTTCTAGTTATTGTGCAATTTGCAATAGACATCGGATACCATCATTGTGCGATGACGCTGCTGACCCTGGCCCGGTAGCCATGTTGCCAACATGGCGCCCACCCACGTGACGCGCCCGCTTTGATCTCGTCGCAAATCTATTAATGCAAATAACACTTTAATTATTTAAAGAGTTCTAATTTAAATATAATGATTTCGCTTGCAATTTCAACCTACATTGAAATAAAGATATCAGTCACTGTGTCATAGACACGTTATACGCATAAATGGAAGGTGACATTCTTAGGAAGGTCATCATCATCATCGTATCAGCCATTATTTGTCCACTGCTGAACATAGGTCTCCCCCATACAGTGCCATAAGAGACGGTCCTGAGCCACCTGCATCCACTGGCTCCCTATAATGTATGTGAGGTCATCACTCCATCACATATTCCTTTTTAAAAGGCTGGCAGCACACCTGCTATGCCGTTGGTGTTGTGGATGATTATGGGTAGTCACATACCATCAGCCTCTCTGCACTCAGGGGGTGCAGAAACGAGCATGCGACTCAGGTGAGCCGTCGTAAAAAAAATCTAATGGGGGTCGTCCTACACTGTGTTTGCCCGTACAGGGTCGCCGCTCAAGAATCTTACTTCCTTATCAGTTGTGAGTACGCCCCATTAAAAAAAAACGCAGGTAGGGGGATTGTTGGTAATGAGTAATAACAGTCCCATTGCTAGCAATATACCTTATCAGGATGACCTCCACATGGTTCCCCTTGGAAACCATCGTGTTTAATTCTTGTCAAATTTTTCACAATGGTCCATCTGACCTGCTTTCGTCTTCACCTATCATCTATCACTGGTGCCCCGCCAGCGTATACCATATCGCCAAACTGACAATACAAACCAAATACTATCAGATAAAATTACAGACTATCCACAAATCAAGATGCGACAGCGAAGGTCACCGCTGGTTATTGAATTGTAATGATGTCAATATTACGTCATCGACCTTGTTGACCGGCTTAGGGATAGAATTTGATGTATTACTAATAGATTCACCTGTAAATATTCGTATTTTATTTGTTTTGTATACCCACGCATAAGGCTGCCTTGAAAGAATCCAGAAATTTACAGTTATTATCTATTCGTTCTACCAAATACCTGTTCCAAAATTGTTGCATGCCCGACAGGGTAGAACTGTTGATACTGATGTCAAAACCAAAGCAATATTTACTGCTATGTATACATAGCAATAAAACAATAGATACACTATTCAAACCTATCTATTCCGGACCACCGCTCCAATAGACTGTAAATAGCTTAATTATTATTATAATAATTTTCAAATAGGAATAGTTTATAGCTTTACATCTAATAGAACATAGTTTGATAATATTTGATATAATTTAACGCAATATTCTATATAGTTAATGGAGATAGTTTCGAATTTGTAAAAAACTC